ACTCGCGCCCTCCACATCCACCCAGTATCCCGTAACCTTCAGGCCAGCCTCCTTACAAAGCTTCCTGTAACCCTCCTCGTTCCTCAACTTGCCTCCCAGGTTCATCATCACCATGTCCACCAGTCTGTTCTCCGGCGTCGGCTTGTCCAGCAGGACTCCCTCCATGATGACGATTCTTCCCCCCAAGTTTCCAAGCGCACACCTCAAATGCTTCAGAATCCACACGGCCTGCTCATCGCAATAGTCCAGTAACACACGACGGACGACGTAGACCGCTGCTCCCTTGGCTTCCGCAGGTTGGGGCTGGAAGAAATCATGTGCCATGGTCTTGACACCCTTCAACTTCTCATCTCCACCCTCGATGTTCTTTGCGACTTGGGCGATAACCTCCGGGCGGTCCTGCAGGATACAATTTCCCGGCTTGACCTCCGGGAACTTAGCCAGGAGGTTGGCTAGGAAGTGACCCAGTCCGCCGCCGACGTCGACTACCAGGGGTTTCCAATAGATGTCGGTATCTCGGAGTCTACCATACAGCTCCAGCTCCCGCATGGCAACTTCGGCAAGCCAAGTAAGCGAGAACTTCTTCGCCGGATACACAGAGTTGATACCGCGATATCCGCCAACGCCCAAATCGCCGCCCAAAGCGCCCTGCGCACCCTTATCCTTGGCCGCCATCGCCATCTCAAAATGGCGCGCGTACTCCGGATAGCGGGCCTTGACTTCCCACGGCGCCAGGGCCGGGTGGCCCCAGCCGAGAGAAAAGGGTGTCGGGATGTAGCTTTTGTTAGTACCGTCTTGTGCGCCGCGTCTCTTGGTCGTCACGACAATGCCATTACTATCATGGACCAAGATCTCATTATCCGATGGGTGGGGTTCCTGTCTGTCGTAGGTGGAAAAGTACTCGGGCCACTTTGCAAAGCCCTTCATGCCGTTGCCGAAACTAACGATGGCGAGGGCAGCGGTGGCCGGCGAAGTGTTGGTACAAAGGAGGCGGGAGATGCGGCTGTGGGAGACGTGGGTGGGCGGTCCTTGCTTTCCTTCACCGTCCAGGCGGGAGCCGATGAGTTTGCCGGTAGAGATTAGCATGCAGGCGATGCGGGAAACGAGAGACTCGTCGGCATTAATAGCACGGGCGAGGTCGGCGATGGAGATGGAGCCCGTGAGAGGGATGTGGTCAAAGGCGCGCCAGTGGAGGAAGATGTTCCAGGCTGCGACATCGGCGATCTGTTACACGGGTTGTCAGTCAGGCTGCAACAGTTGCGAGTTGGAATGGGGGAACGGGGCGAGCTTACAGTGACCCAATCCGACTTGAGCGAGTCCATAGGTGGTGCAGTCTCAAAGGCAATCTTCTTGCCTAGTTTCGCGATGCGCTGGCGAAGAGCAATCTCCTCAGGCGACGGAGGAAGAGGCGCATGATTTGCCGACTCGGGAGAGCTGCAGGGAGGGGTAGGTTTGCTGTCGAGAGTCGCTTTGAGCTTCTTTGCGTCAGCGAGGAGGGCTTCAGCGGCCTCGACGAGGTCGAAAGGCGGGGCGCTTGGGGTCGGGGTAGCGGCCGAGGCGGCTGCCTTGTCAGTCTCTAGCTCGCCATCGTTTCTCATGGTGTTACCATGGCCGCTCTCGTGCTGGCTTTCGCTGCTACTTTCATTCTCGCTCTCAGTTGCGGGAGTCGGCACGAACAAACTCGGCAACTCCATGTCCTCGCTGTTGTTGTTGTTGTGGTCGATCTCAAGGGTCGACACGGACAAGTTGAATTTCGGGTCCGCCATGTTGGGCTATTTCAGTTTGCGATCGATCCGCGCAGTTTTCGAAATTTTTGTTGTGGGCGCAAGAATTGGAAGAGTCGAAGGCTGCTGGGTCCCAACGGAGATGGTTTTGTACCTTTGGCCTGCAATTGTCATCTCATGTTGAACCCAGGTGAATGCCCTCGCGCCCTTCACTGCCCGATTATTTATTCGGACATCAGGACATATGGGCTGCGCCACAGCCACACAAGGTTCAGCTCGGCCTTTTCGGTTGACGGGACTCGGAAGTAGAAGACGCCGCATCACTCACGGTGAATCGTTGGGGAAGGGCGGGCGATTTCTTCAATCTCGCCGTCGGGTGTTTGGATGTTGAGGAGCTCGGAGGGGATCAAGTGGAACTGGAACAACGGCCATGAGTGGGCAACCAAGACCTTATTTGTTTGTTCGGTCGCGAACACTGCCTTCAAATGTCCGAGTTGACCGAGCCACCGGTGGTCGGCACCTTTTTCATCCGGAGTATCACAGCATCAGTCGCTCTTCCCACATTACTTGGCAGCGAATCAGCCAGGCAACCGATACCGAAGAAATGAACTTGGGAATGCAGGCAGGCACAAGGCAGGGTTAAAGGTGTAAAAACCCAACGCATCATGTAAGTGGTTGAAAGTGGTGGACAGACACCTTTAACCCTTGGTTACCTCTAGGTAACTAACTCCCATCCCCCTTAACATCATGCATCATCCTGACCCTTCTCTGCGTCCACTCCCAACAGCTAACAGCCTCGTACTTTGGCTCCTCCCCTTCCTCGACACAGCTCTCCAACACCTCACAAGTCTCATTCAAATTAAACCCAAAAAAGAAAGCCATGCTCAACCTCTCTTTCCCGCTATAATTCTGCACCCGATGCACCGTACTCACATACTTGTCGTTGGTGATACGCTGCATATAATCCCCAAAGTTGACCACAAACGTCCCCGGTATAGGCTTCGCATTCAACCACTGCCCCGATCTCGACAACACCTGCAACCCGCCCACCTCGTCCTGCCCCAAAATGGTAAACAACTGAAAATCCGTATGCGACCCAATTGACACCTTGGTCTTGTCTCCCTCCTCCTCCTTTTCCCCAGAGACACCTCCGGACAACGGCGGATAATAATTAACAGCCATACCCAAATCAGGCCACCGACTCTTCTCATCAAACGCCGTCTCCTCCAGCCCCAAACTCAGTGCAAACGCCCGCTGCAGTATCCTCCCCAGCTGCAAGACCGCCTGAAAATACCGAATGACTGCGGCCTTGAACTCCGGAGGGACAGCACTCCACGGGTAATCGTCGGGGTCATGCTTGATCATGGCCTTTACCTCGTCCGGTATCTCCTCCTCTATGTTTCTGACATTCGGATCGTACCGGGGATCATATCTCCATGAGAAAGACTCGCGATGGTCGACGCTTTCGAATGGGTTGAGACGCTGCGTGCGAGGTGGTTTCCAGCCGTATTTGTAGAGGGAATTGTGCATGCTGGCTTTTTCTTTTTCGGAAACAGGGGAGCGGAAGAATCGAAAGGCGGATTCTTGGGCTTCTTGGATTACGGAGGAGGAGATGCCGTGGGAGGTGATGTAGAAGAAACCGTTGGTCGTGGCGGCTTGGTGGATTTGCTTTGCGACCTCTAGGCGGGAGGAAAGGGAGGAGGAAGGGGAGAAGAGAGGGGCGAGGGAGATGATGGGGAGTTCGGAGGGGAGGGCGTCGCGGGGCGGATGGGGGAGGATGGAGCGGGTGATGGGGCCGTTTCCTGAGGCTAGGCGGAGGGTTGTTGCTGGCTGCTGGTCTTGGGTAGACATTGTGGGTAGTGGCTGCTTGGATGCTGGGTTGAACTTGAGCGCGTTTGTTGAAAGGGAATTATATCTTAAGTAGGTGTGATAAAGGTCCGTGTTCTGCGCTCTTTGTGGCCTATTGAGTCACTGTGATCTTTTAATTCGGTAATGAAGGTGGCGGTTGTCTGGTTGCGATGGCTCCAGGGTCGTGACAGACACTCAACGTTTGTCGGCTGGTGATATTCGATGGTGAATGTACGACTGGCAGCGTTTGATTGAAAATAGCAGATGTTGGCGAAACTGCAGTCTTTTTGTTTACAAGGTAGTGAATTTATCTTGATATTCCCTCCCAAATGAAGTTGTTATGAAGGAGAAGTCGAGACTCGAGAGGGGGACGGTCATCCAGATCACATACCCCAGATAGGCACGGACGGTTATCAATCCAAAAACAAACTAGGCCTGTTCCGGATCTCGGTTATCTAGCTGATAGCACTGTATCGACATGGAGGAGGGGGTTTTGTTTGTCTCTTTGACGGAGTCAAGCCTCATGACCCCCGGATCTTCGGGCATCTCCGATGGATCTTTTCGGCAGCTTCCACATCTCGTTATATCGGACAGAGGAGAGGCACTCCCGTTTTTGGACACTGAGGTATGGCAGAAATACGATAAGAATTGCCTGAAAGAATTCGAAATCCCCAAGCAATTCACGAAGAAATCAGTCTTCCAGCAAAAAGGGCTGTCAAGGTTGTCAAAGCTGCGAGTCCTTCCAGAGAGGAAGAGAAGAAATCTGGCTGACCACGGGTTAGGGTTACAGAAGCATGAGATGGTTTGCGGCAGGCACCACGCTGTACCATTCCAATGGGACATTAGATCCCTTCTATTCTATTGCTGATGACACTACCATATCGTACTGGAAAAGCAGTAACTAATCCATCAAACAGCTCGAATCGTATAATCTATATTACACTTGGTCGGCATCCTTTTCTACGGTAGGTACTTTGTAATCTTCCTCCATTGTTGACAAACCCCTTACGCCAAGTGGGGCTCAGATGCCGGCCGGCCGGTTGTACCTAACGTTCGACGTCTCGGTGCAGTTCACAGCGAGTTACAACACACCAACACTGACTAACAAGCATCGTTCGGTGATACGACTGCCGAAGCCAAGCACCCCGCGATGCACTCAATTACAAACATGTTGTTCCCCGCCTATCACTTGCTCAGTTCGTGACCAGTTGGTACGACTTTGAAAACCGGTTACCTTCATCTTCCTGTTTCTCTTCTTTCCTCTTCCTGCTGGCTGCTGCTGCTGCTGCTGCTGCATCTTCCTCTTACAACATCTTCTTCCACTCTTCCAGTCCAAATCCCACGATCGAACACCCACCATTTGAACAGAATCCCCCAACGTACTTCTTCACAACACCCACCATCAACCAGTGACCACCACCAACCACGATGACGGCTTCATCAATTCCAGTCCCCCCCAAAGGCGTCTGGGTCCCCTCCCCCACCTTCTTCACCACGTCCTCCCCCTCCCCTTTCTCCGCTACCCAACCCGCCGTCGACTACGCGACCCAAACAGCCCACACCCTCTTCCTCGCCCGCTCCGGCATCACCGGCGTCGTCCTCCTAGGTTCCACAGGCGAAGCCATGCATCTTTCCCGCTCTGAACGGTCTCACCTCATCAAGTCCGTCCGGCAAGGGCTCGACGAGGCCGGCTTCCAGAAATTTCCCATCATGGCGGGTGTCTTGACCAACGGAGGCGTGGAGGAGACGGTGCAGTGGTTGGATGATTACAAGGAGGCGGGCGCGGAGTTTGGGTTGGTGTTGGTGCCGGGGTATTTTGGACATGGACAGGGGGTGTGGGGAGAGGGGGGGGAGGGGGTGGTGAACTGGTTTAAGGAGGTTCTCTGGGGAATGAAAAATAAGGAGATGGGGATCGTGGTGTATAATTACCCTGGGGTTAGTAATGGGGTGGTGCTGGAGCCGGAGGGGTATAGAGCTTTGGCCGAGGATCCGAGGGTGGTTGGGTGTAAGATGTGAGTACACTACCCGAGTCTCTTCTGTTCTCGGATACCAGACGAGGGGAGAGCCCCAGAAAGAGGAAGGCAAAGCAAAGACGTGCTAACAGAGTTAACAAATGTGCAGGTCCCACGGAAACATCTCGCACCACCTCCAAGTCTCTCTCGATCCCGAAATCAACCACGAACGATTCCGCGTCTTTTCCGGCTTCGGCCAACAACTCGGTCCCATTGTTCGGTATGGCGCAGCTGGCGTTATTGACGGCATGTCAGCTTACTACCCGAAAACGGTGGTCAGACTATACGAGCTAGCGCAGAAGGACGATCTCAGGCCGTCGGAGAGGGCAGAGCTGAACAAGTTGCAATACGTGGTGAGCAAGGCCGAGGAGTTTGTTGTCAAGTATGGCTTGAAGGGCATCAAGGAGGCGACGTACAGGGTTGCGGGCTTTGGGGATTTGGAGGCGGCGAGAGTGCCGGTTGTCGCGAGGATGAGGGAGAAGGAGTGGGAGGAGGGGAGAAAAAAGTATTTGATGGAGATTGAGGAGATTGAGAAGACACTCTAGTCTACGAACAGGAAGGAAGCAGACATATATATCATTGGAAACAGGGAATATTCGGTAGGTAATGATATGGCTCTCATCACGGCAGCAAAGCGAAAAGGAAAAGAAAGAAAAAATGTGGCCCGTACCGGATTCGAACCGGTATCTTCCGCTCTACCATAATACCGCGTCCAGCAAGGCTATACGCCAGGATAGGTTAGTGTTACCATTACACCAACGGACCACAGGAAGGTCCGCGGAAAAGGTGACTTATAGAGGTACCTTCACCCTAGACCGGCGGGAGAGAGTTGGGACGAGGAGCTACCAAGGTCGCAGCGGCCGGCAGGACAACGGGTCTGGAAGGACGACAGGCAGGAGCAGCAGGCACCATCGGAACTATCTTCAAATAAGTCCGAGTTGCACACCCATGCCCGTTCTCAACTATGACAACGACCATCTACCGAGTTTCAACAATCCGCTTACGATTTACACTGCTCATCTACTTCTATCCACATCATGCAACACCAGATAACATCTAGAGGTACCCAGCACTTCCTAACCTCCTCATCCGCATTTCCCAGCCCACACTCCAGACTACATTATCTCCATCCCCGGCATCCTATTCATCGTGCACCTTCCCTAGCACGCTACAAAAAAGCCTACATCCTGCGCTTTAGTCCACCACACGCACTCCCCGTACAATTTCTAATCCCACCCATCACCTCTGCAGACCATCGCCCTCCCATCTAAAGGCATAATCGCCATACTTATGTACCCCATAGTATCGCCCTCGCTCAAAACAAACGGCTGCGATCCGTCGGCAGTCAGTCCGCCTTGTCGTTGACATGCGTTATGTTCCATAGAGGTACGATTTCGGGCATGATTTGTGGGATCTTGACGGGGTGCGTCGAGGGCAAATAGAGTTGATTCAGGAACTTGAAACGGTCAAGGAGGCCGGGCACTCGGGCAGGAGGTATATAGGGTAGGTTCGGTGCGATTTGTGGTCCAGTCGGGGGAGGTACCCTACCCTACACTACAGGTAGCTTGCGAAACGGCTGCTTGGTGTGACGAGATGGGTGATCAAGTTTCGAAATGTCGGACTGGAGATATATGTATCCAGTAATGGCAGCAGCCGTACGATAGGGTACATGTGTGAACACCGATGATATAGCGACTGAAATTTCCAGGCCTTTTGTCTTGAGTAAGTAAGTGCTGTATATAGTAGGGTACGATGGGAACTAGTGAGGGATGAAGGGGCACCTACATTTATACCTTAGTCGTACCTTCCATCGTTCAAAGCTGACATGAAAGAGTCAAACTGAATCTGGAAATTCTCGTTAGCCCGGTTACCGTAATACTTCCCACTTACCCCTCTTCATCCCAACTGCCACTGGTCTAGACGTAGGCTGTGGTATACGAGCCACCTTTCCCGCGCACCTCTCCGTGGTCCGTTGGTGTAATGGTCAACACTACCTAATCTGGCGTATTGTCGTGGTGTCCGCGGCTCTACGGCAGCGTGGAAGTTACCGGTTCGAATCCGGTACTGGCTACATTTTTATTCCCCTTTTTCCTTTCTTTTCTCTCTTTTCCGGGTTTTTTTTTTTTTTTTCTTTTTTTTTTCTTTCGCGTTGTGGCTGGTAATCTACACAATATTATAGCAACCATGAATGGCTTTGTGCTTCTCAAATCTGTTATCAAGGCGAGTAGGTAGTAACGCATTTATGTTCGTCAGGTCTCAATTGTTGCCCAATCTTCCTCAGTGGCCAGCGTTCATTCGTCTGATGGTTTCATGTCGTGATAGGCTGCTACGGTCCAGTCGTTTGCGGTAGAGGTAAACGAGGCCTACAGATGAATGGTCGTAGGCCTCATGCATGTATCGTATTGGTTCAATGTTCGAAAGAGGTAGACAAACACGCAAAAGAATGAGAGCCTACATAGACAGTGGACAAAAAGATGCTTAGGGTAAATGGCGGGACGAATAGAGAGAGGACATGAGAGGACAATGAGCGAGCATGAGGTCCGTGTCGGATGAGTTCGCCAGGTTACATTTCTCGCTATCTCCTCCAAACAACGTTGGAACCAAGAAGTTAAGGTTCCCTTTCAATTTGGTTCTGTCAGCTGGCAAAGACCTTTAATCTTCACGCCGTGTTTGCCTACCAGGTGTGCAAACGTCCTTCATCCTTTGTATGACTGACTGTTCCTCGATGGATGTTTTGTTTAAGGGTTTGCAGCTTCTGCTAACTTGTCCACCAGGTTTGACTCATTGATAACTGGTCAAACGCTGGTGAATCAGATATTACCTCTACATTATTTCCGCTCCTCCCACTGGATCGGCAAAGGAGAGACTTCTAGCCTGGACGACAACGAACTTTGACCTGAAAACTGGACAGGAGGCAGCTGGTGCACTCACCTTTTACCCTTCACCCTTCTTCTTTTCCCATCTCCTGCCCCGCACACCCGATTTCACTTCTTCTTCTGCCTCTATCATCACCAAGAACACCCCTTCTTCCAACGAGCAGCGCCTTTTACCTCTCACCATCCATCGGCAACAACCCTCACCGCACACGCGCGCGCAACTGCCTCATCGAAGCAACTGAAGTTGCGCCATGGCTTCTCGACAACAGACCTCCCACATGGCCCATGTGCAGCTCATGGGCAAATCGGCAATAGGCCGTCAAGTCGCCGAGCCCATCGTCGTCTCCGAAGAATACATGCAGTACCTGACCAAGCTGATCCCATCTACACCGGAACTCATCAAAGCCGGCTTCGTAGTGAGTCCGCTCACGCAGACGGAGCTCCAAGCGAAGATCAAGTGCAAGAAATGCCATAAGAGATGTGAGTCCTCACCTCACCGACACATATCGCTGATCGGTCTGGTGCACCGTCACTGACTTTTTCGTTCACCGGCAGGCACAAAACCTGATCGTCCACCTAGAGACAGAAAACCCTCCCACGCCGGCGAGGGGTCCAGTAATGGCAGCTTTGCCAATGATACTACCTCTACTGCGTCAAACGTTGGCTCGAGCCACACGTGTAGACTCAGAAGCCATGGCGAGCTGCTTGACGAGGGCAAGCAGACTGAGACTACAGGTACCTCTACAGGTACCAACAGAAAGCAAGGCCAGCAAAATGCCATCTGCAAATACCACCCTGGACGAGTTAACAACAAGGCAAGTTCTCCTGTCCCTAGGTATCCCACTCACCTCACACCAGAAAACTTCTCACTAACCTACCCATCTAGACCTGGACGTGCTGCACCCTCCACGTCTCCCAACCCCCCTGCTCCAGCTCCCCATCTCACACCCCTGTAACCTACGCCCCCGGCATCCTCGAATCCCGGTGGCTCTTCCTCCCCACCCCTTCCACTTCCCCTTCCACTTCCTTTAACCCTTCCACTTCCTTTTCCCTTTCCCCTTCCACTTTATTTTCCCCTTCAATTTCCCCTTTCCCTCTAACTTCCCAACCCTCTTTAAACCCCCAACCCCAGGCGCCACCATCCCCTTCTCAATTCCGCCCCGCCGTCGCCATCGACTGCGAAATGGGCGTCTCCTCCGACTTCGAATCCGAGCTCATCCGTCTCTCCTTAATCGACTACTTCTCAGGGCAAATCCTCATCGACCGCCTCGTCCGCCCCAATGTTCCAATGCAACACATGAACACGCGATACTCTGGTGTGACTAGGCAGGATCTCCAAAACGCCATACGCAACAGGACTTGTATCCTCGGTGGACTGGAAGAGGCGCGCAAAGAGGTGTGGAAGTTTGTCGGGCCGCAGACTGTTGTAGTTGGGCACTCGGTAAGGAACGATTTGAGTGCTTTAAGGTGGATACATAAACGGTGCGTGGATAGTTTGGTGGTGGAGGAGGGGGTGAGGAGGAAGATCAAGGCCAAGGAGGAGGAGGAGGAAAAGGAGAAGGAAAAGATGAGGGAAAAGCAGAAAGAGGAGAGGTTGTTGGAGATAAGCTTGCATTGTGGCCCGGGGATGGCGGAGGAGACGAGAAGGATGATGGAGGAGGAGGAGATTAAGGAGAAGGAGAAGATGAAGAAGATGAGGGGGAAGAGGGGGGAAGATGGCATGTCGTTGAAGGCGCTGACCAAGAAGAAGCTTGGTCGTGTGATTCAAGATGCTGGGAAGAAGGGGCATGATAGCGTTGAGGACGCTGTGGCGGCCAGGGATCTGATTCATCACCATATTTTAGGTTTGATGCAGAAGGGTAAGGAGAAGAAGGAGGTCGAGAGCGAGGTCAAGAGGGAGGTCGAGAGCGAGGTCAAGAGGGAGGCCGAGGCTGCTTTTGCTCAGGTACTGGCGGAGGGTACCAGGGATGCGGAAATGGGTTCTGTTTTTGCCGCTTTCCCATGAGTTGGGATTCTGGAAACGCAGGCAATGGCCCTTCGTTTGGACTTTAACGTCCAGACCAGGCAGCAAAAGCTGCCTTGGGACTTGAGGTCAGACCATAATCCGTCTTTGGTAGCTGCTAGTGCAGGCGGCGACGGGAGCAAAGCTACCGGGCAGCTGGCAAAGTTGAGAACAAAGACAGAAAGATCTTGCGTGTATGTAAAGATAATCGAATGTAAGAGAGCAAAGAAAGTAAACCATCAAATAAAATGCCGCTGTAGTCGCTATCACTCATGCCCTTATTTTCCTGTTACTCCCACGCTGTTGACATCCAATCTCAACTCCGGGTTTTTTGTGTCATGTTAACTTCCTCCTTCTTCTTTTGACTTTCACTCCCCTCAATTTCCAAATGCTGCCCACTGCTGACCCCATTATTGTCCTTGGGTGTCCATTTTGTCCACAATGGTGGTTTGCTTTGTGTTTCCTGTACAGATCCCGAGGGACGTAGGCCTCCAAGGATAAGGTAGTACCAAGAAGAGTGCTACTTTCTTGTATGGCGCCGAGTTGTTGGAGGTACCTCTACCTATCAACGGCGATGCTTTCCCGCGGCACGGTGCCTCTTCAAGCGATCCTTGCGGCGGAACTTCAAGGTGCAGCCGCTGTAAGAGCACGGCATCTCGGGGCTCAAGCTCCATCCTGTACCAGTCAAGTCCTCAAGTCTGTCATCATGTTTGTCGTCAATGTGACGCTGCATGTCCCGTTTAGTCGCCGATGTATGGCCGCAGGTGCTGATGGGGCATGGGATGCGATCTGAAGAGCTGGGGCTGGGACTTCTATAGCGGAGGCGGGGGATGTCAGTTTCGTCGTTCGCAAATTCGAGCGTTGGCTCCGGTGGTCAATGGTAGCTGCGTTTTCAGGAAGCGCTTACTTGGGGCCAGTTGCCGGTGTATGAGACTGTTCCTGGCGTTCTGGGCTTGGAGATGGGGCATTGGCTGCCCCTGGTGGTACTGATGTCTCTGAGGCTGAGGTACCTCTGCCGTTGGAAGACTGGTCAATAGAGGTAAACAAGTCGAACTCGGTCGAATTGCCGGAAAGGGTGGCCGGGGACATGCCATTCATTTGAATGTCGACCACACCTCTGTCCATCTGGCTCTGAAGAAGGCTGGAGTCATGGGTGAAAGTGTTGCCAGCTTTCTGGAGAGAAACCCAGGTCATGAAATTGCTGGAATCAAGGGGAGGGTATGGGTCGTTGCATGGAAAGTCATTGGATGAAGTAGAACAGTGATTTCCTGTCTGAGGAGAATGGTTGCCATGGGGAAAGGAAGGCGTCCACTGTTCATATGCCGCGGGCGCAGAGGTTGTTGAGGGGGCAAAGAAGTGGTTCGGAATTCGTGATTGGATGCGCTTGACATCCTCGCAGAGCTGCAAGAACCTCTGGTAATGCCAGGCTTGGAGGGCAAGGGCTTCCTGCATCTGAAGGTGGTGGCTGCCCTTGTCCTCGTCGGTTTGCAAGAGGGCCGGGTCGATGCGCGAAGAGCCGATTGGACAGCCCTATGGTAGCTCAAAGATTAGTGGACGGGAACGCCTCTCTAACAACGACTAACTTGTCGGCATCTCACCAAGTCATGTGGGGTCGTGGTGCTCGTGAATGGAAAGAGCGCATTTCCGGATGAAGACGGTGCAGGGGAAGTCGCAACTCTCTGGCTGTGGGCATTTAACAAGGACACCGGTGTTGTCATGAACGCATCGCCGGTGTGGGAAAGATTCGTGGAGTAGTTAGAGTTATGTTCTACCCCGCCGCTTTCCATTCCAACAGCCCTTTGAGAAGAGCTGGAGGCGGACCCATTCGGGATCATGTACAAAAAATCGACGTGATCTGACATGATACCGAGAATTCTCGTGTGTCTGCAATGAGTGGTAAAAGCTACAGGTTATAATGTGTACTACGGACTACATTTTGGCAGCTATTGGGCTCCTTTGTCTATTTCTACGGAAAATGTAAAGGATGTGGCCGAGGGATTGGAAGCTGTAATTGCGAACCGAGCGACCTTCCTGTCACTAGGTACTTATGTTTCTGACACCTAGCAGACCTCCAGGGCCTCACTTACAAGGGGTTCACGCGCTAGAGTCGCCGTGAAATAACACCATAGGTCCAGCCTCTTCAGCTGTGCAGGCACTGCCGCGATGGCCTCACGCAAGATCCCGTCCGCTGACTACGCGAAGCATGTTCACTGACCACAGCGCGTTACAACGTCGGCCAGGAAGGCCTCAAGCGAAATTAGAAGTGAGCCAACCGAGTAACCGTTATCGATTCAGACCACACACATGTGAGCGTGTCGCGCGCTCATTCGACGGCCTCACCAGCCACACATGGCCTCTATCGCTAGGAAGCAACATCGTTGGATGGGTGTTCGTGTTTCGAAACAGGGGCGCAGCCAACATGTTCTCCGATACAAAATAGAGAGAGCCATACCTTCTTGTACTGGATACATCAACCCTGGTTTAATTGTTAGCGTGGTTCTTGCTCCACGTCCTTTTCTATGGGGGTTAACAGTACCAAGCTAACAATTAAACCAGGGTTGATGTGTAATAATGGTCGACTGGCTGTGGATTGGATGAAGTCTGGTCGGATACTTGGAGTTTGGATAAGGTATTTCTTTTCCAGCCAGCGCGTCCCGAAGCACCGCACCAGCCGGCTTAGATGGCGGACTAACGCCAAAGTACAATTTTGGGTGAGTTGCTGCAATGGGCATCGTTAGGATGTTAGCGGGGGGGGGGGGGGGGGGTAAGGCAACATTACTGCCCTGAGGGAGAATGTTCAGTTGTCGCCAGAGCGCCAAGTCACCGGCAGAGTCTACATATAATGCCCAAATCAACTTACATTTTCAACAATAAGCGCCAATGGTCTAACGGCTAGGATTCATCCCTTCCAAGGATGAGGTGGGGGTTCGATTCCCTCTTGGCGCAACTTTTTGTCTCTTTTTTCATGATTTCTTTTTGCTTGTCTTCTTCAGTTTCGATTATCTTCGTCTTCTCTTTTTTTTTTCTTCGTTCTTGTAATATTGTTTTGTACTATCTTTGCATTTGGAGGTTCCGTGTTATCCACGCAAGCAAGCACGCCAAGGCAGCAACGTCGCCTGATGTGCCAGGCATAACAGAAGCACAGTCATCATGTCCAATAGGTGTCAACGGTTGAGAACAGCAAACTTCATTGACACGATGGGATTTGAGATCTTTCAGAATTCAGGTACGTCTACATGATTATTCAAAAACTAAACGCATCAAGCAGAATTCGACAACAAAAAATAGAGTTTTGCACCAGAGTGAACATCATACAAAGAAATCGCAGCCAAGTTGAACTCCTACGCCTCCGCCTGGTCAATCGTCACCAACGACCTTCCACACCTCTAGGTGATACCAATCAGACAGCAAACCTTACAACCCTCCACCCCCTAGGGTACTTGTCCCCCTCTCTGTCAACAACCTGCGACGGCGGGGAATAGCTGACAGAGTGCCGTCGACGGGTGCAAGGCTCGCTCCTGGTCTTGGGCTCGTAAGCGTCAAAGTCCCGTGCGGATCGCGGACTACGGGGGTGCAAGTCCCAGTGGGTGCTTGGGGCTGGGATGTTTGGGCTTGGGATGTTCCAATCAGTCAAGCGGTCATCGAATCGGCGCTCGGATCGTTCATCGTGGTGGTGCCGGCGATGATGGCGGTCGTTCTGATGGTCCCGGTCAAGAGGGCGGTGTCCCTGCCCGTGGCGAACATCGTGGGGATGCTGCCAATCACGATCACGGTGGATGTGCGTCTCCTTTGAAGAAGACCGCGGTCGGTCGTAGGTGTATTCGTGTTCGCGGGTTCTACCCCTTTCGCGGCGGCGGTGATCACGGGGTCCGTACTCGTACTCGTCGTCGGTGTAGTGGCGCGGGGCGGGAATTTCATGTAGGTACTCCTCAAAGCGGACCCTCGGCTGGTGCGGATGTTCGAGCTCCTTGGGCGGACGAGCAGGGACCGTAGGAATAGGAACGGTCTGAGGAGCTGGAGCTGGAGCAGGAATCTCGGCTGGCGGCAGTTGCCCATCGTCATAAGGCGGAGGAGCGCTTCCCGTCGGAGAAGAAGGGTTTGATCCCGACGCTACTCCAGCCAGAGTAGGCCCAGAGAAATCTCGCCACGTCTCCCACTCTCGCCTTCGTGGTGTAGCCTCTTCATCGTGCCTCCTCCCCCTCTCCCTCTTTGCTCTGTCGGCCTTTTCCTCCTTCTCCTTCTTTTCTCTCTCCTCTCTGTCCCACACGCTCCTCAGCTCGACCTGGTATCCCTTGATGACACCAAACAGCTCCTTCACAAGCTCCTCGTAGTCCTTCCCTTGTCTTTCGAGGCGAGCGATCTCATCGAGCAAAGGTTGAATCTGCTCCTGCTTGAACGTGGCATAGGACGCTAGGATGGCTTGTTGGAGACAGGGGTCATAGTTGGCAGAGCGTTCTTTGTGTTGATGGTGGAGTTGGTCGATGGAGGACCAGAGGAGGGCGAGCTCGGCGGAGATCCATTGGTGGAGGTCAGGGTTGTAGGTTTGGGGCTGGAACTGGAATGAGGGCTCGGTCGCTGATTGGCGGGCCTGATGGTCGCTGAGCTGAGTATGGAGGTCAGGCCATTGAGCCCAGGAGACGTGCTTGAGGTCGTCGTTGCTGAGGTGGAAAGATTAGTGGGAGGTGATGCGGCAAACCGTGGGCGTGGAACTTACTCCTCGGCTTCCGAGTCGTCTTGAAAGAGCTCGTAGCGGTACTCGTACTCTTTTCGAACCTTCTTTTCTCTGTCCCCATGCCGTCTGGAGGGCTTTCGGTGGATTTCTACCTCGTGCACATGGTGTTCTTTCCTTGGCCTCGACTCGCTTAAGGAGGTTCTTTCAACGGAGCGGGCTCTGGAGCGGCGGCGATGGCTTGGTTGGCGCACGCTACCCAGGATCAGTCCACTGCATGGTCAAATTCGGGCTTGGACAAGATAGGCACTCACACGTAGTACTCGCTTTGGTAGGAATTCTGGCCCTTGACTTCACGAAAAATCCTGGAAATAGTACCGAGTGCCATGATTCGTCAAGCTTTAAAGTGACAGTGTGTATCGAGTGGAGATTGGAACTAAGGAAAGTATGACGAGCAGATTGATCTAGCGCCATCATGAACAGATCATATATAAAAACAAGCTTGAGCAATGGAAACCTAGCTCCCAACCGAACTCTAAGCTTTTCCTAGCTCGTTCCATGGACAAAGGAGCGATAGCACCAACATGAACTTGCATGTTAGCAGACAAAAGCACTTGCCCTTGAAGACCATGATGGAGTGACGGGATGGATGTTGGCCGAACAAAGCGTGGGGCGTACACAGCGTTTTTCGAACAAAGGAGCTCTGATAGCTTTTGGGAGGGCTGCGCCGAGCTCCAAACCTCCATGTGCTAGAGCTCGCTTGTAAAAGTGCAGAATAATAAAAGGTCTGCTGCTAACGGAAGCGTCGTGCTTTGGAAGGCCTTGTTGGTTCATGCAGGTCACCGAGGGAGGCTCTTTGATGGATATCCGCATCCATTGTCCCTTGTCTCGTTGGCGGCCCTGCTCGCCGGCTTCCGCGGTCTTTGGGCTGGCTGTTGGCACTGCACTGGTGAGGCGCCGGAGCGAGATGGATGTCTTCAAATGATGAAAGCTTTTAAATCAGGTCGGTGGGATTGGCAAACATTGATAAAAGGAAGGAGTCTCGAAATGGTCTTCATCTAGGTAAGTAGTTCACCTCGGTCAGTGTCATGATAAGGCCGGCCACCGTGCGAGTGTTGGCCCCGCATGCACAAGTCTGGCCGCACTCAGTGCTCCCAACACCCACTCAGAACGTGGCGCACACTGACAGAAAGAGACGGGATGATGGTTCGTCATGACGTAAATCGATGTAAGGGCCGATAGTCCGACTTGATTGAGATGTTGAGGTTGATAAAGTGAAGTCCAAGTGGAAATTCTTCAGCGGCCGATGAAAGATTGTGTAACGCTGCTGCCGGTAACGTAACCGCATCTCCTCCACCCGGCATCTTCCTTTCAGGTTTTGGTTGTTATCGGTTGTCTTTATCAATGTATGACAGCCCCCACCAGCTGCTGCCGACTGGCCGCTGTAAGGCTGAGATGCACAGTCAGGATCCGTGGCTCAAACTTGGCGCTGGAGCTGCAAAGCACAAGCCACGGCCGAGGACATCGATCTTGCCTCAAAAGGACCCCTGTCCAATTTCTCCATTTGTCATAACTTTCCATCTTCTAGACTCCTCAACCTTACTTCGATTCACCTTATCAGAGTTCCATCTTCAACAGGGAACCATCAACAGCCATTTCCTGGTCTACCTACCACACTAGACGTATATACGCGTAGTTTACCTTGGAGCATTCATACACGGCTTCACTCTTTCATCCAGTTTAGGTACCTGAATTGAAATATCTCAGTCCACCAAACAACAACAAGGAACAGAAACAGACCACGCAAGCCATCCAGTTCCAGTTCCAGGAAATCCTTCATCCGACACAATGAGCCAACCACAGGGACAAACACCACAACAAACAGACGACACTATAATGTCAGAACATGAACCACCAAAGAAACTCACCCTCCTCGACCTCCCGCCCGAAATCCTCCACCAAGTGTGCGCGCACCTCCCCCTCAAATCCATCCGCTCCTTCCGCCTCACCAACCGTTTCCTCGGCGAAATCGGCGCCTGCCACGCCCTGCCCGAGCTCGTCTTCTACCTGCACACGACCGATTTTGCCGCGCTCCGCTCCATCGCCTCGCACCCCATCTACCCGCGCTTCGTGCGCTCCCTGGTCTACGGATGCGACCTCTTGCCTTCGCCCCGGCTTTCGCTCAAGCAGTACATAGCCGAATGTCGGCGCATGGAAAAGCGACGGGCCAAGATGCATGCGCGCCATGCGTGCGACGAGGCGAATCGCCCGCCGAAACCGCAGGCGGAGGTCCGGGAGAGTTACAAGGAGTATAAGCGCGTGCATCAGGCGCAGGAGGAGATTATGCGCGACGAAAGGGATTATGAAATCTTGAGAGAAGTGGTGGGCAAGATGACTAATCTGAAGGAGGTCATGGTCAGCAGCGACTTTGAGTTTCGGGTGGCGAGCGGGACGAGTTCATCAGATGGCGGGAACGGTCCCATGAAGAGCGACACGCTGAGAAACTGCAGGACGCCATTCGACAAGCTCGATTGTTTGACGCAGTTGGATGGGGAGAAGGGGCAGGAAGGGGTGAGGCATTTGCGGGCGATCTTGATGGCTGTGAAGGAGGCGGGGATCGAGCTCAAGAGTCTCTGCGCGGGATTGATTCATTGGAGCTTTTTCAACGAGGCGCTGGGCAATTTCGGGTTTCACAGCATGGGGAATCTGTTGGCGAACCTAACACGGTTCGAGCTCCTTGTTCTGCCTGGGCCGAGCCAGGACCCGGAGGATTTCCAGCGCGCGGACGCGATCGAAATGAATAACATGAGCATCGACGTCATGGAAGAGATTTACCGGTGTCAGGGGCTGATGAGGACGGGCGTCATTCGGAATCTGGTAAAAGGCATGCCAAACCTGGAGGTCTTGTCGATCGGGTTTATGGACCATGCGGAAGATAACGACTTCATCTTTCCCGCGAGGTTGCAGGATGTCGTTCCGCTGAACCACACGTTCCCGAACCTGGAGAGCTTGAAGCTCGAAGGATTGGAGACGGAGAGGCAAGAGTTGACGGACTTTGTGGTCAGGCACAAGGACAGCTTGATGAGGCTGGAACTCAGGGATATGCGACTCGTCACGACATCGTGGAGGAAGCTGTTGCCGGAGCTGCGGTACGAACTTAAGACGGAATTGATGGAGGAGGTGTCCATCTACGGTATGGCGCTAGGAATGGGCGAGGAGGACGGCGATCAGGAGCTGGAGGAGTGGTTCATGGGTGATCCGGAGGATCATGGGGCGACGGAGCTGGCGACCAAAGTCCAAAAGTTCTTTATGAGCCCGAGCGTGAGCGACTGTCCGCTGTCGAGGGAGAACATGGAGCCTATGTGAGTACTTATCTCTACCCACCATTCAACTCGACAATTGCAAGAGGAAACCAAATACTGACCTTTTTTCGCGAAACAGCCCCGACGATGACTTGATGGACGAAGATATTCTGGACCATCCTCTTGAGGGCCTGATGCCGGACCACGAGCTGGCTGAACTTATCTTGGGCGGCATGCATTTTCCGCCGGGAGGGCATCCGTTTGAGGATCCCTTCGATGATCCGTCTTTCGAGGCTCCTGGAGAGTGGTTGGACTGATGGAGGAGCAGCAGTCACTTTATAATTGACAGATGGGATGATGGAAGGATGCATGGTACAAAAACTGGACAATTTGGATTTAATGGGCGTCAAGGACAAACGCAAAGATGCATATAACTCGCAGCGGCAACATGATTATGAAATACGGTGACTTGCACAGGTTTTAGCGGAAGAAGAGGTATTATTCAGACAGCATCAGGAAGAATGAGATATAACTTCAATAGAGAATGTGTTGCAATCACTAATGGCAAGCTGTCATATCAAGAGGCACGTTGTAGATTGTGGGATGAATCGCATGCTATGACACGAGACAGGACTTTGTTGCCTTAATAAAGCTAGTTCAGAAACAGTTACGTCAACAACCAATAAGCGCCAGTGGTTTAGTGGT